AGTGTAACAATATTGCAAAACAAGTGTTTCCATATTGGTGAAGTTGCAAATGTTGGTGCAAAGTTGGGTATATGCCTTTCTTTATCAGTGGTTTTAATATTTCTAATTCTTTAAAAATGAATAATGACAAGGCCTGAACTTTTCAAGTAAGTTCAATTACAAAATTACGTTCTATGCTCATTGGTACACCTTTGGTTTCCTTAATATATTGATCTTCATGACATCACCAATTTTATTAATTAATATAAAACTTTTCCAACAAGGTCAGCTATGGATTATATGGATTATATACAGATTAAATGCCTAGAGATAGGCATTTCTTAAGCAACTAATTAATTCATTGGTACAATGCATCAGAAGAGAAACAGTAAACAGAACAAGCTAGCAGGTAGGATTAACTAGAATGGGAGTCATGAGACCTATTTTCTATTACAAATTAGCTGTGTGATCCTGGGTAAGTCACTTAGCTCACTGGTTCTCAAACTTCTGAGGCTTTACCAGGGTCCTGACATGAAGTTTCCAAATTTGATATTTTGTCAAATACAGATATGGTAAAAATTCATTTTGCAACAGTAGGAAGGAAATTAAAATAGAAAACGAGTGGGGAAAAAACAGCTTTATAAGATATTCACTACACTGTCCTTAGTATTTTTTTTTTTTTTTGAGAGAGAGAGAGATATCTAATTTGTTGTTCCACTTATTTATGCATTCATTTGCTGAGTCTTGTATGTGCCCTGACCGGGGATCAAACCTGCAAACGTGGCCTATCAGGATGACACTCTAACCAAATGAACTACCTGGCCAGGGCCTCCTTGCTTTTCTCATTTCACTTTAGATCTATGAAAACTTCAACAGGGACTAAGCAAACATGTATTGGAGAAACAGCATTCTGTAACCAAAACCTTTGCCTATTTCTTAATCTGAGGAAGCAAAATAGCATGGCTTCTGGATTCAGTACTGAATTCAAATCCTAGTTTTACCACTACTAGCTGTGTAACAGTTTAACATTTTTTTTTTTTTGGTCTCTTTTTTTATTCATCACTTCTCTGAGCCTACATTTATTTTTCTATAAAAATGTAGATAATATACCTACCTCAAAGGGATGTTGAAACGATTAAATAAAATAACGAAAGTATCTAGTACGATACAGGCATTTAATAAGCACTCAATAAATGGTAGCAGTTACCTAAAAATGAGATGAGATAGAATTATCACCAAGATTCTATGACTTTATAGACAAGCAACAGGAGAGGAAAATTATAAATAAATAAGGTCCAAGAAAACAGATATATTGAAATAGTTCACTTATAGTGGGTTAAAAAAAGAATTTTTTTATTTCTTACGACTTTGGATTCTGTAGGAAGGTAAAATTGGACACACACAAAAAATTGGTAGACTCATTTCTTTATACTTGCCAACTCAAGACTTATACTTTTAAAAACTGTTTTGCTTCCTTTAAAGCAACATATTTTATTTATCTTGTCTTCATCACTGAATCAGAAGGCTAGAATTGATTTTTAGAGGGCATCTAGTACATCATCACTCTACTACCAGATAGACTCAGAAAGAAATGTCTTTAAACTCATCCCTAATACTTCATTCTTAATAAGTTTTATCACTTTGTTTACATAAAAAATCTAAATCCTTCTCAAATTTACCATTTAAAAATCTCATATGAATAGTATGTTATCTTTTGCATAACAATGAGAAAAATAAAAATACATACTTGTATTTCCATAAAGAATTTCTGAAAGAATATACAAGACATTAAAGGTGTAGCAGGCAGGATACTTGGGAGCAGGGATAAGATCAAGACTTTTAACTGTATTTGTCTTTATTTTACTTTGACTTATGAACTATATGAATGTAATCAATTATCAAAATGTACTAAATAACCACCAAAAAAACAGCAACCCCAAAACACACCTGTATACTTCAAGTTTCACAATAAGGTTTTCCTCCACCCATACCAATCAAGTGTTTTGACCCACCATTCATGTAACCATACTCATCAACATATCATTTTATATGTAAAGTCTTTAGGCTTTACAGAATGAAATTTGTGCAAGGTTGATACTCATGCTATAACAAATCATTACAGTTAATAACATGCAACTTTTCCTTCAATAAACATCTCCAATCTCTCAAATATTTGCTCACTAGAATATAAAATTCTATTTCCTATTTCTCACTTCTGATGATAATTTATGGAATAAAGCCCTTCTACCTTGAACAAAGTCCCCCATAAAGATTTTTTAGAAATTCACTTTCCTGGACAATAAATAAAATTTTCAAAAATAATATAGTATTGCCCTGTTTGGAGTGACTCAATTGGTTGAGCATCGTCCTGTGCATGGAAGGGTCACCAATTTGATTCCTGATTAGGGCACATTGATGTTTTATCTCTTTCTCCCTCTCCCCTCCTCTCTGAAATCAATAAAAAAATAAGTAAATAAAACATCTATGAAAGATGAAAATAAAGATTTTGGTATTATTCATCAAATGCCAGTTCAGTGAGTGCTTCTTGGAGATCATTATTTATGGTCTTCACACTGGAATTTCAAAGGCAATAATAAGGGAGAAGACAGCTCATCTTGTCAGGCAGAAAAAAGGTAAGAAATTTGCTTGGGCAAATTTCACTCACAAAGGCATAGACTATACAGTGGATACTAGATACTCCAGGAATTTCTTCTTTATGTGATATGGGAGAAACAGGACGTAGCAAAATTTCCTTTCTCCACAGGTTAAGAAAGAATCTATATATACACTGGGCATCATTTTAGACCAGTCTCTGGGTATCCTAGAAAGCTCCACTCCAAAAATGAGGTCTATGTATATACTTAATACCTAAATCCTTTTTAAGCACAGAAAACTGAAGTAAACAGGAGACTAAGGGGTTCTTCTACCATTAGCCTAAATGGGTATAAGAATCATAAATAAATAATTTCTATAATAAACATAAAAACAAGACAAAAGGCATCCAGCAAGTGTGGCTCAGTGGTTGAGCAGTGACCTATGAACCAGGAGGTCACAGTTTGATTCCCGGTCATGGCACATGCTCGGGTTGTAGGCTCAATCCCCAGTGACGGGAGTGCAGCCGATCAATGATTCTCTCTCATCACTGATGTTTCTATCTCTCTCTCCCCCTCTCCCTTCCTCTTTCTGGAAAAAAAAAAAAAACATATTAAAAAAATAACAATTTCACCTTAGGAAATCTGGGGGGATAAGGTTGCATAAAGCAATACCCATAAATATAGCTTGTTCAAAAGGAATGAATAATGGAATTCTTTCTGAAACAATTGGTGATCTCTGTTTGTGCTAAACATTGAATTCACTGCTCTCTCTCACACACACACACACACACACACACACACACACACACACAGACAAAAGGTGTGGATTCTGCTCATAGCTTTAAACACATGGTATGCAGACTCCAAATGAAATTCTGTGTCTGAGTGTGTGTGTGTACAAGCCTCACAGAAATGGTAGAAATGGTTACTTCAAAAGCTCATTTCCCAGATATAACACATGAGCCCAAAGAGTTAGAGATTTACGACTTTGGAGGCTCACTAGTGCTCTAACCTCTGAAATTTAAGAATACCACTTATGCAAAAGCTAATGAGTGATCTTTTATCTCACCTGTGATAATTAAAAATAGTCCAGAAAATCAAGAACATCATCTTTCTATCACTCTTAGACCAAAGCAAACCTTTCTATCACTCTTAGACCAAAGAAACTTCTTTTAAAGTTTCAAAGAAAAATAGAGTCTAAAGATGTTCCCACTTTATATTATAGATAAAAAGTATACGTGTTCTAGGCTCACCTCTTGTCAAGTTTCATCAAAGATACAGACATTCAAGGGACTAGCTCCCTTACAACCCACACAGTGTTTCTTCCAAAGCAAAATGTTGGGGTCAGAATGTATGAAGGTTTTGAATCTAAAGGAATCCCTGTTTAGATCTAGAATGTAAAATAGTGCACTAGCTGTATTCGGCAACCCACAAATACAGTTTCTCCTATTCCTCTCAAATACAACAGCCATGGTACTTGTCCACAGAGAAATCCCTGTACTTTAGCACCAAGAACAGAGGTTAAAATAACTGGTCATAAGGGATGAACTAGGCATCTTAGAACCCAAATAGAATACTCTGAGCACTTAGAACAATAGTCATCACAGTGCTATGCTATCGCCAAGCCATAATCAAGGGGAAAAGTACATATATAAAATATCTCCTTTTTCCCTGGAGCCCAAAAATTGATGCCTTATCATCCTAGGTTGCTCAGACCTAAAACGGCCCGGTACACACGTAAGAGTCTAATTTCCCTCACTTCAAAAGATGTCCATAGGATGCCTCACTTTCTCCAAGCCTAAAAATCTCGGGTTCAGCTATCCTGCTACTCTGTAGTTGCACGGGAACTTCCTTCTCCTAATTTCACAAAAGGTCCCAGGTGCAAGGCTCACGTGATTGTTCAGGGTAAAGCCAGGAAGCTCCTTAACACTCACCTGTCTCCAACTAAAGAAGGGAATCAAGAACCCGACTTCCATACACAGGTAAAGCAGAAGGCAAATAATTGTCCAATCCCTCAACTTTAGCTAGCCCTGCCTCCCTGTCTCTGTCTCAGTCTCTCTGTCTCGCTCTCAGTACCAAGGGCAGAGACTCTGGCAAGACCCCGCCCCCCCACCCCCCCAACTCCAAAGCGGGGTAGGCGGGAGGGAAGCCTGGCCTGGCGAGTCCTCGTTCCCGCGCGAAGCTCAGAGACCACAGGACTCCCCATTGTGGGTCTACGATGGTGACGGGAACCGGTCCGGCTCGAACCACGGGCTGAAGAGTCAAGCTGAGGGAGCACTAGGCCCGCACCGCTGCCACTGCCGCCTTGGAGCCGATCGCTGTCAGCGGACTCCGCCCGGGCAGCGGGAGGGTGGCCCCAGCCCTGTACCAGCCCACGAGCTTTCATGCCCCACGTTGTGTGGGAAGTGGGGGGTCCTGGAACCGTACCTCTGACACTTCGTCCTCGTCGCTGCCAGAGGCACCACCTCCACCCCCGGTCCTCAGCACAGCAGCCGCCAACTTGAAATCCAGCGCCGCGTCCCCTACGCCCGCACCACTGCCGCCGCCACCGACTCCCGGGGCAGGCCCAGCCTCCCCAAATCTCACGGTG